AGTTTTTAGGGTAAGGATTTTAGAAAAAAGTATCATCTTATAGTCGGAAAAATACGGTAATCTCTCTCCACCCCATATCTCGTCTATTGGGGGGGGAAAAATCCAAATGCTTCATTAGTTGTTTTTTGGCTGCAAAAGTTGAGTAAGGGCAACCTGATGTAACTATTTTTCTCTTTTAGCCCTCTCCTTAGTCCAGAGAACATTTTGGCAGCCAGGATCCTGCATCCTGCGCTGATCTCCTCATAATGCTGTCTCTCTACAAAGGGACGTTTAGCTTGCAATGGCTCTCAACTGGAAGTTCCAGAAATAGCAGATTTCCTGAAGCAAAGAGTTCTCAGCTTCAATTTCTTGGACTTCTCCAGCTTCTTGGAGATCCCAAGTATTCATCAAAAGCTGCTGGGAACAATGGAAGCTAATATCCAAACCTTTCTATATCGATCATATGCAGGTTCTGGGTATTCTGGCTCCAAATTAGTCCATGTAGTGTCAAAGAGCCATCCCTCACTTATGGGGATGTGAATCTGAGTATGTACTTTCGCATGCAAACTACATGCACAACAACTCTTGTTAATGACAGATACATTGTGATGCTTTTGGACTAAAATGTAGTGTCAGCTGTATACGAGAAAAGCTAATAAAATGTAATCAATACTTTATGGAATGCTCTCTTATTTTGGGAGCTGTTATCACTTGAAAGAGAACTCTGAAGTGCCATAGGCAGCTTAGTTGTTCAAGAGACAGATCTACACAGTAGTTTCCTCTTGACTGTCATGACTAAATGGAGTAGAACTTGGAATAGTTCTCTTTTGTCTGATCTGTGGCCGGTTCCATTTGGATATCAACCAGATGCTTACTTTTGAAAGTTCTGCTGTAGACAACATTTTCAGGTGCTTTTAATCACATTGTTGCCTTGATTACATTTTAAGTGACAAACTCTTTGGCAGATCTATGAAATGTGTGAGTGTTGCATAAATTGTGAAGAATTTATTGTCTTTATTATTATCTATGCTTCTGTTTCTCAGGTATTCGTCAGCTTCAGCTGATACTCTTGAAGGTCTCCTTAATCCTTGGTGTTGAGATCCATGTCAACGTAGAATTTCAGGGACTTCTCTGTCCGCCTGAGGATCAGGAGAATGAGAGTAAGCAGGGTTGGCATTTATGGCAGACAATGAAATACTTGCTCTTCATATGATATCTAAGAAATTACTCTTGTATAATCAAAGCATCAAGGGTAGTGGCTACATGTGGCTACTCCACTTATACATATAATGAGATGGTTAACTTCTCACACTGGTACTGAAAGGCCCAGTTAAATGTTGCCTGAGTGCTCAAGCCACTTATATGGCTGTATCCATTTTTGTACATGCCTTGTTAATATATAATTTATCCACAGGGATAGGTTGGCGCGCACAAGTCCATCCAAAAACACATCCTGTATCAGAATACGAGTTTGATGTGATAATTGGAGGGGATGGAAGGCGAAATACTTTGGAAGGTAACAGTTGCTGATGTTTATGTTGATATATAGAGCACTCCTGCAGTCCAACCTTTGTCAGGTTTGTCATGGTGGCTGGGAATGATGGGAATAGGACCATCACAGTCACAAGATTTCTGTAGCCTCTGCTCATTACTCTGCATTATGCTGTTTTTCTTAAGGCCTGTTATCCAGGGAGACACTTTAATAAGAATAGATTATGATAGATACGTAGACTCTAGTTTTATGTTCAAGTACATGATTTGCAAACAAGAGATTCCTTATCAAGTTCCTCTCCAGTTTTATGTCCTAGATAGCGGAGCTGGGAAAAGAACATTCAGCTAAGAACTTCCAGAACTGTTATCAGGCAGAGCAGAGAGAGGCCAGAAAGTGGTGACTTAACTCAGAGTTGAATTGTTTGGATTATATTTTTATCTGTAATGTTTCATTTGTCTGTTTCCTAAAAAAAAAAAATTGCATAGCTCTTTGTACATGACTCAGTACAGTTTCTTTTGGAGGGGAGAAAATTAAATGCACGGTAGGTTACTACAGATTTAGGAACTACTGTTATTCTGCCTATACATCAGACCAAGCAATTCATTTGAAACCTGAGGGCCATTTTGCCATTGTGCATTTGTTCTATAGGATTTCGTCGAAAAGAGTTTCGTGGAAAGCTGGCAATTGCCATCACGGCAAACTTCATCAACCGGAATACCACAGCCGAAGCCAAGGTTGAAGAGATCAGCGGCGTGGCTTTCATTTTCAACCAGAAGTTCTTCCAGGATCTTCGAGAAGCAACTGGTTTGTAGAAGTGATTTATAGCTGAAAAGAGGCAACTTTAATCTCATTATGCCTTTGTTCTAGAGATGCTGCTGGTCTTTGAATGCTGTGAGCTTTACTGTTTGCATGCAGAGAGAAAGAACTAAAAGAAATGGGTACATACTGCGGCTTTTACAGTATGTCTTCTTTATTACGGCTTCTGAAATCAAATGCTGCGGTAGGGGTTATTTGGAATGCACAGGAAACACCTTTTCTTAAACAGTTAAAGGAACCACACCTTTTCCCAGGCTCATGCAGTTGCTTTGGGAGCTGTTGTCATTTGTGTCTGTATGCAAAGCAGTTTTCTCAGCATGCAAAGCAGTTTTCTGGGCCCAACTTCCAAAGCAATTGCACATGCCTGGAAGAAGATGCTGCTTTGACCATTTAAAACAAGGTGCTTCATAATTTGTGCTTTCAGAAACCCTTCTTTTGAAGGACAGCCAAGAACTAATTGTCATAATAATGAATCATCTAATATTGGGAGTGGAAAGAATTTTATAGAAAACCTGGCCTTGTGAGCTAAGTTCTAAGTGATTTTTTGAACTGAATGGACAGATGTGCTAAATTGATACCCATCACTACTGTTGATGGCAATATCCAGACTCATTTTGCTGATTTGTGCTCAAGCATTTATGGTGCTGTTCTTTCACTCTTGATCTTTCTTGATTCCATTTTAGGCATTGATCTGGAAAACATTGTTTACTACAAAGATGATACCCACTATTTTGTCATGACTGCCAAAAAGCAGAGCTTGCTGGACAAAGGAGTCATATTACATGTAAGTGTGCTCATTGAAACCTCAGTTGCACCCTGATGGAGACCACTGACCTGCTTTAAAAAGTCAAGGAGTCATAATGTTAGTTTCATTGTTTGGGGATTGGATTGGATGTTCTGAGTAAACTACTTTTAATAGCACTCTGTTTTGGTCTCTGGGTTCCATGATGTACTGTTTGAGGAGGGGTGCCCTCTAAATGTCCAGATAAGTGGTTTGTTTCTGAGTTGAACCTAGAGCCTCCCAAACTGCCTATTGACCAGGGTTTTCTACTTCTGGGCAGCAATGGGATTTGAATGTACTTTGACCAACGCTTTGTAATTAATTTTGTCCAAAATGCAGCCATTTCCTCTTTCTAAAGAACACTAACTTCTAGAACACTGTAAACCATCTCTAGAATTGGTAGATCAGCCTGTTTCAGTTATGGAATGTTCCAGAGTTCCATGGAACAATTTTTTTTGTTCCTCAGGAAGTGATTTGTAGTGTTCTAAATGTATTTCAACCACAAACTCAATTGGCATGTTCTAGGAGAAAACTGTAATACTTGGGAGGAAAACAGAATATAGAGAGCTCTACTGGCAACCAGTTTAATGCCTATCTGTGTTTGTGCTTTGTACACCTGAGCACATGTGGTATAAAACTGCAAAGACTAATTTTGTGATGCTGACTACTCATGAAGAGGTTGGTTTTATATCAAAATAAGCTTCTATCCCTAGGTCTCGGAAAATAGAATGAATAATCAATCAGCAATCAGTTGTCTTTGCTCTAGTACTGTCATAGAAAGAATGAACGTCAGAACTGGATGAGTAACTTTGCTTACGTAATGGGACCTTCCTTTTTGATCCCCTGTAGTCTCTTGTGCCCTTCACTCCCCAAATCTCCCAGAACAGATGGTGATGGACAATTACCCATCTTTTTGTTCTGCTGATAGAAATTTACCTTTCAGCAGGAGGTATTATTTGGATACCACCTTTTTATTTTAAAACATCGAATGTGAGATCCTCTGTCCTTAGTAACTTTTTCCTTTTAATTTATTCAGAATAATAGAATTGTAATACGTTCCAATAATGTTGGTTGCCAGCTTGTTCAAAACAAGGAGGGCTTTCTCTTGCATAAGCTTCAAACAATGAATTCCATCCATTTTTCTCACTCTGGAGAGACATACAGATTTATTGTGTGTCACAAAATAATGGCTCTGTTTACGGAATCATAACAGAAGGGAGAGGGAATGGTTGAGAAACAGATAAAGGAATGAGCAGCAACAATCTACTTCCAGTTATGTTCCCCAGCAATTGATGTATTTGATATTTTTGTATGAATATGCAATACTGTGTAAATCAAACTGAATGTTCTGGCCCACAATGGAAAATGTGAATGCTGAAGGCAGGCCATTGCAGAGAAACACCAAATTCACCTCAAATGTCAGTACATTGTGCTACAAATAATAGGCCCATCCAGTCAGATTTTGTATGATCTCCTTTGTACTCTCTCTTCCACTAAGGTACATTCAGCAAACTTCTATCTATATAGGTTATAGGTTTGGGCAGACTTAGCATCAATAATTGAAATAATAATGTATCTTCAGTACATTGAATAGCTCATGGCTCTTCTTTATTTTGTCTGGCAGGACTATGCAGACACAGAGCTATTACTTTCACGAGAGAATGTGGACCAGGAGGCTCTGCTCAGCTATGCCAGAGAAGCTGCCGACTTCTCAACTAACCAGCAGCTGCCATCACTGGACTTTGCCATCAACCACTATGGACAGCCTGATGTCGCAATGTTTGACTTTACGTGCATGTATGCCTCAGAGAATGCAGCCATGGTTCGAGAAGTGAATAGCCATCAGTTACTCGTGGCACTGGTGGGGGACAGTTTGTTAGAGGTTTGTTCTCTAAATGTCTTACTTGAACTATTTCTTCTTTATTTTCTTTTTTAAAAATATTCTTGCTTTAGGCCAAAATGATAAACTGTTTCGTAGTATCATCATAGACTTTTTTTCTAAGAGTGTAGATCGCTTGATGAAGGACTTGCAGTGGAAGCAAACTGAGTTATACTAGAGTTTTCCAGTCTAGGGTAAAAAATGGGGAAAATAATGGTTTTGAGGAAAAAAATTGAAAATGAATGTAGAGGTAGTTTCCAGCAGCTTAGGTACTCACATGTGAATAAAGTTATCATTTTAACTATTCTTACCTGTCTAGCTTAGCCACCCTGCTTCTTCTTTAGGATCTTTTTTGACCTTGAAATATATTGTTTGTTTTAGCAGAATAATGTTAAGTTAATCTACATAATGAAGTTTCACTTTTGTCCTCAAAAATTAAATGGGTAGCATATATGCATATTTGAGGATTTCATTGTTACATATTGAGGCCACATTTGTACTGTTCTGAGTCATAGATATCTCTGAAGGCGAATGGAAATGCAGTATGAACATTTCAGTTGAGGTTAGAATTACTGTTGTTTTCAGAGTTAATGAGCTTTGCTGTAACTCTGATTTCTATGTAAAGAGGTATGACATGAAGGAGTGAATTTCTGACTTGTTAAACACAAGGAGTAGACCACATTAAAAGTAGCTTGAAGGACTTTTCTTCTACTTGATATCCCATAGGTATGAAAAACATGGTTTTATAGCATTAAGCGAGGAGGTTCACAATGATATATTGGACTTCAGAAAGTTATTCCAGGACACTGAATGCTGTCTAGTGATCCCATCAGATCTTGGTCCCACAAATGCTCTCTTGGGGTTTTAAAGTAGTTCTGCAGTGTGCATGCAAAGGAAGTGACTCAGCCATGGTTTCCCGTGGAATATGTTTTCCTTTCTCTTATTCCCCCCAAACCCTTTTTATGGTTGCTTCCAGCCATTTTGGCCAATGGGAACTGGAATAGCCAGGGGCTTCCTTGCTGCCATGGACTCCGCCTGGATGGTACGAAGCTGGTCTTTAGGAACAAGTCCTTTGGAGGTCCTGGCAGAAAGGTAATAAAATGCCTGTCTCTCTGTATGCGTGTGTGTGTTTTGTCGAAAGAAGGAAATTTATCTGAAATGTTTCTATATGTAAGAGTATGCACCTTCAGGCTCATCAACCATGCAGTGTATATGCATTTATTAGCATCTTCCATACTTCATTTCTGTGTCCTCCTATTTGTCCCTGTGCTAGTCATTGTGTTTATCCAGAGATACTGGTCATTTTCTGTATACAGTTACAACAGATTAGCAAGGAATAACACACTTTTCTCTTTGTGCATGAGATAAAAGATGGCTTAAATTGAACTATTTGAATATAGTTAGGTAGGCACAGAAAAAGTTGCCCAATTATGCTTATGAGAGGCAACACTCTTAAGCCAAACCTCAGGTTAAAAAATGCCATCGCTATATTCATATAACATGCTAAGCCCAAACAAACAATATAAAGTTTAATGTGATAGCTTGCTTCATGCAATTTGCAAAACAATGCTTGGGTTTCCATAACATATGAACCACGAATTATTCAACCCCTTTAGCTTAATCTAGTATATGGTACAAACACAGCTTTATATATACCTACTCAGAAGTAAGTCTCACTGTATTTGGTGACATTTTCTTTCCAGTAAGCATGCTTAAAATTGCAATTTTAGTGAACTCCCAAGCTCAGGAATTGGGATATATGAAAAGGGCCAGGGAAGATTTGTCTAGACAGATTGATCAAGAAAATTATACGATATCATAATCAAGGTCACAATTCATATGGACGAGGATGGGTTGAAAACAAGTGAAACATAACGTTTAACTGGTATTGCTAAAATGGCATCAAGCACACCGGCTTTTTAGTATTATAGAAACAGATCATTTGAAAATGGGCCATTGTGTATTTATCTATCTTTAAAAAGTCTGGGCTAAAACAGCAGTGTAATTAAAAATTATTCTTTTCCAATATGCATTTTTATTTCATTAAATAATAGCATTATTAGCTTCACTTTTCATGCATTGGTGGAGATAGTAGAATGTGTAGAAAATGGAAAGATGATGGCAGTACAAAAACCTAGAACAAATTCAATGGATGTCATCTTGCTCTCCTGAATTTTCATTTCACAGGAAGGTTAACAACATAATGCTCATTAGTACTGCCTCTCTTTCTGTGTTTTAACTCCCTTAAATACTCCAGCCTAGTCTCACTCACTTTTCTGAATTTTCTATTTGCATTTGGCTCCTCTCAAGAGGTCAGGCACTGTCCTGGTTTGAAAACTACATGTAATGTGCAGTTTGTCAGGTGCCACTTCCCTTATCTTTGCAAGGCAAAGATATTTCTGGTGGTATGTACATCACCGGCAGTCAGCTCAGGAGAACTGGAAATAAGACCCTAATCAAAATGACTTCTATATTATCCCTGCCTCTGAACAGGAGATTAACCAACCAACCAGCTAATAAAGATAACTTGAAAGTAACTCAGTTAAATACAGAAGTCTCTTGCAATATGTAAGACTCAGAAAGATCCCTCCTTCATTAATTTGAAAATATAAACGCCAACTTCAAGCTGTTTGGGTATAGATCAGGCATTTATTCTAGATGGGGAAAAAAGATAACCCAATAATGAGGACTCTATTGCCATCCACCAAGTAGAACATAGTCATTTTGCTCTTTGGGGTAAAGCCATGTCTGTCAATGTCTTTTCTATCACTGAAGCTGGCATCAATGTCCTATTTTTCCTAGAGAGAGCATTTATAGGTTGTTGCCTCAAACTACTCCGGAGAACGTCAGCAAGAACTTCAGCCAGTACAGCATTGATCCCGTCACTCGGTACCCCAACATCAATGTCAATTTCCTAAGGCCAAGCCAGGTAATAGGCTCTATTCTGTGGTGTTCCAGGGCATATGATGGACATCTTGTGCAACCCAGTTGAAGGACAGCATTAAAATAATATAAATACAGTGGTACCTCGGGTTACGAATTTAATCCATTCCATGACTCTGGTCGCACCCCGAATTGGTCGCACCCCGAAACAAATTTTCCT